TGGTGGACGAAGAATCAGCAGCTTTTTTGGGTGCTGCTGCGGTGTTGGCTTGTTTTTGCGTTGTTTTTGACGCGGCTGGCGCTTGCGAGTCGTTACGATACGCAGAGATCGCCTTAATTGAATCGTATGCGTGGTCCAGGCGGAGCACGGCGGTCCACAACTCGTCTTTCGTTGTGTAGTCCACGGAAATGTCGTGGCGCATAACCATCTCCCGACGCATTTCGCCAGGGATGGCGTTCAGGAAACGTTCATTGAACGTTGCCTGGTCAGGAGGCATGATCATCTCCTCAGCTGCACGATACAGCTGGTCATAGAAGTGTTTGATTCCCTTTGCGGAATCGTATGAAAGCGTTTTGAACGCTTTCGTGGATGCTACTGCTGCAGACTTCTTGATGAAAGTGCAGATAAGGATCTCTAGTAGATCCCAGAATGGGGGGGTTACCCCGTTCTGCACTCCAATGCGTATATAGTGCATCAGGAGGTCTTGCGCCTCGCCTTCAATGGCGGTTGTCAAAGTGTGGACGTGAAACTCGTTATAAGCTTCACCCTTCCACCCACACGACGACATATAGGCTAGCCAGGAGTGCAGCCAGTTGTGGAATATCTTCGAGTTATTCTCTTCAGACCATTTGATGGTTGGAGTCAGTCCCTGCATCTTCTTGAGCAGTTCTGGGCATACATCTGCAGGCAGTGGCTGCAGGATTTGGACCTCCACACTTCAGCGTGCAGATTCAAGAAGCTGAGTCATGAACTCAGATGGATCAGGCACTACTCGTGCCGCAGGTGCTGCATATGAATGCATGGTTGAGTCAAACAAACCGGGTCGTACAGACAAGCGGTTTGGAAAATTGGATGAAGGCTCCCGTTTTGCTTCGGTGCCAAATGGGTCAAGAAATGGTGGGTTGGGCCAGGACGAGCCACCCTCGCCACCATCCTCGTCATCACCATCACCACTCGGACGGCGGGGCCTTCTTCCCGAGTTAGACCTAACTTGGTCTACACGCCTCTTGCCCCCTTCTGGAGCCGCAGGCAGTTGTGAGAATCGGTGGTAGTTATCCAGCACTCGTCTGAGTGCTGTGCCGTGGGACAGTCTTTCGGGGTCTTCACCGTTTGCCCCACGACCCATGTTGTATACGAATGCTGCGTCTGCATCCAGATGGGTGTTAAAGTCGAAAGTAGATTCGCTGAGACTACGCTTAGCGAAGATAGGTCTGACCTTGGCGGGCTGTCCGCCAATGTCATCTACACGATCCTGGACGTAGATCGGGCGTTTTTTCCGTGCGTAATAATCGTACGGAACACTGGTGGCTTCCGCATCACCGTCTTCCTCTTGTATCGTCTCCACAGTGGCCTTCATCGGCACTGCTTTCTTTCTCCCGTGGTCGGGAGGGAAATTACGCGTTTGAGTAGCATCAACGTGTGGTATTTTCACCCCACCGTTCGTGGGTTGGGACGACAGAATGAACGGCGCGGGCACGAAGCCTGGTCTGAGATGGAATGGAGAAGTTCCACTCTCCCCCGTAGTCGATGATCCAGCCAGTTGTCCTGGGTCGATCTCCCTACCCTTTCCCTTGGCGTCAGTGGTTACTGGCGCCATCGATGGGGTAGGTGGCTTAGTTCCACTAAAGATGGGAACAAAACGTCCGTCAGATTCTTGTACCTCAACGGACGCGCGTGAACTTGTCACCTCTGTGACGACGGCAGAGACAGTGGGGATCCCTCCAGGTATGGGGACCCCACTGATTGGTTGACCCGTTGGATTAACAGGGACTACAGGGACCTCCTGGGGCGCTTGCGCCTCCACAGCGGGTTTAGTGATTGGTTGACCCGTTTGGTTAACGGGGACTACAGGGACCTCTTGGGGCGCTTGCGCCTCAACAGCAGTTTTTTTTGTCTGGTCAGAGACGACAATGGGGTCTCCACCCGTTGTTGGGTTCACTGGAGGGTTTGCAGATGGGTTATCTACCGTTGCTGCGGGTGGCTTTGGCTCGTCGCGTCGAGAGAGCGCGAGGAGAATTTCGTTTAGTTTCTCATTAAGTCTTTCCTCCACCTTAATGATGTTACGATCTAGACGAGCGATGTTATCACTATTCCCAGAGATTTGGGTATTCATGTTATGGACATCGCCTCTCAAGTCGGCGATGTCGTCGTCGACTTGGTCGACGCGATTTCTTAGTACTCGCGCCGTTTCAGACGCGAGGGAGTGGGTTGGGGATGGAGGACGCGACGCGCGCATTGGGACGAATGCCGCGAGAGTCTCCGCTGCGAGGGCTTCAGACGTTGTGACTTCGTCAACATCTCTCATATAGGTGGGACGCGTCTGAGACGCCCTTGCAGGCCCAGATCGCCACCATCACTTGAGGTGGTGTCATCTTCCGCCCTACGGCTAGTGGAGGGGCCGGCCGTGTTGGCGGGAGCGTTGGACGTGCTCCTGGTGTTGTATCTCCACGACATCCAGAAGAGGTGTCGAGTCGTTCAACAAGTTCGCGTGAGAACTTGATCGAAGTCACGCGTTGTCAGCGGCCGACGACACGCGCGTTGCCAAATGGGGTTTCGGCGCCGGTAATGCGGTGCCGAGAATGGAAAGAGAATAAGAGCGTAAAAAAGTGAAAGGTTATCTTACTAGTTTGGGGACGGTAACGTTCCGTTCCCCCGTTCGCCTCAGGCCTCAGTAGTCCGTCTAAGTATACGCTTGATTTGGCTGTATATTGACGGGGTAGAAGTAAAGGCTAATCTGCCTTTTACAGCTACCCCGAGGGTTTATATACAATCTTATACATTCTCGGCACAAATAAATAGGGAAGCTTCCGTGACGCTAAATTAGCGTCGCGACATAATTATTACACAACACAACATCAACTGATGTTGTGGGCGGAATATAGACATGGGCCGGGGCCTCACAGAGAGTGAAGGCAACAAGGTACAGTACAATAATGGCAAATGGGGGAAATTGGTCACTGCGTTGTACTTGTAATCAAGAAGAACACAGACACTCCAATCACAAGTTTCCAACCTTTTGAGGTGCAGAGAATAAGGTGACAAGGTATGCTACGATAATGGCAAATGGAGGAAATTGGCCACTGCGTTGTACTTGTAATCAAGAAGAACACAGACACTCCAATCACACGTTTCCAACCTTTGAGGTGTAGAATGAGAGTGAAGGCGACGAGGTACACTATGATAATGGCAAACAGGGGAAATTGGTTGCTGTGTTGTACTTGTAATCAAGAAAAACACAGACACTCCAATCACATGTTTCCAGCCTTTAAGGTGCAGAGGATAAGAGTGAACGTGATGAGGTATGCTATGATAAAGGCAAACGAGGGAAATTGGTCGCTGCGTTGTACTTGTGGAAGAAATATTGTACAAGGGTTCTCTGGGCTTCCCCGGTCGCTATTGCACAGTACCTGAATGTGTTCTCTGGTCTGTATGTGTGCGCTGCAGGTGCACTCTTTGTTGTCCGAGTAGTTGCTGAAATGGTCGGAGCTGGGTGGATTAGGCATGCATGTCCAACGTTCCCTCCACGCATCTAGCATGTCTCAAAGTTTGTGGAGCCCTTCCACGAAGGGAAGTGAGTGGTACTGAGGTCGATCGGGGCGATTGCAGGTGTCTGCTTTGGCAAGCTGAGACTATTGGACACCAGGTGAGCTTCACGCCACTTGGTGATGTAGAACCGCCTGATAGGATATGCAGCGCCTAGATGGTCATGTCGTAAGCAATGTTCCTTGAAAAGTTGTGGAAGACGGAGGCAGTTCAACTGTTGACCCAATAGGGCAAACAGACGGCCGACCTCACGTCGAATTCCCACAAGATATCGCTCTTTCAAGCATCAACCATTACTGAGGTGAGGTCCAGCCAATCGAAAACACCCTATAACCCTGACCTCTTGTGGTCCGGCCACCACAACGAAATCGGGTTTGCCAGGCAAAAACTCCACACAGCGTATACGCCCATACCATTACCGACTCCCGAGGGTCACCCAACCCCCCAGGATAGTTCACTATATGTACAGCTCGGATGTTTGCAACTTAGCCCCGCATCAAAGTAAGACCATGGAAGTCATCAAAAGAGCGCAACGGAGGTGCTCTCTCTCGTTAGTATCACAGTGGGCTGAGCCGAGCGACTCAACCTCCTGCTTCATAAGTTTACCCACGCGTGAACATCCCGGTGGACGTCAGAACCCCGATGAGCTCAGGTGAGAAGCCAAAAAGAATCTTGCCATGGCCTCTACATGTGCATCTTCCGGTGCCAATCAGTCGAACTCCGCGCAGGAATTATAAATGTAGCCAACAAAAAAGCGCGTTGCCAGAATAAAAACGCACTAGCTCGAAATTGTACGCTCATAAACAACCGTACTCGGTCTGCATGCTCCTGAGATCCAGTTGATTCAGGTAACGGCGCATGTGCTGTGATATGCTTGAACTATATTTATGAAATCCGCCACATGCCACGCAAGTAGAAGTCATAGAGGCTGGAGTCCTGCCTACCACGCAAGATAGGCGGGTCTATTGTGTATGTAACGTGGAGAGATCAATGACCAGCCTCTGTACCAGGCAACTCCCATAGTATGGACCTGGATCCCAACCGAAAGGAAGAATGAAAGGGCGAAAGAGGGACACTGAATTCCTTTAAACCGCATACAACACAGCGCGTATCTGTACAATTGTCCCTGGTGATGGAAAGAAACAGTATCACACTGAAAGTTATGAGATGATGGGAGGAAAAGAATGAGAATGGTGATGAGGCGCTAATGAAGATAAACTATTAATGTTGAACAATTGTAATGACGTCGCATCAACCAGGTATTCTGGGGTAATAAAGAAAGTGATCCAGAATACCAAAATGTGGAAAATGATGAAGCGACAGGAATTGGAAGATGTAGCTTAGGTCCGTTGAAACCGCAAAGAGTGAGTGAGCAATGAAGGAATGAATAATGAGTAAAGGGGGACGCAAGAGTGATAGTTGATGATGCATGGTTGTTGATAGTGCAAAAAAGGAACTTAATGAGTGACAGCAAGGTTGTGATCTTCCAAAATGAGCGAGGCAGCCTTCTCGCCAATCATGTAAGCGGGAGCTTGGGTGTGCCCGTTGTTAAGCTTGGGCATGATTGAGATATCTAGTTGAAGTAGGAAGTCACTTCAACGCTCCACGCTCATCGGATTCCATCATGAAACTCACCAGCGACGCGGAGGCCTTTAACTCCCCTTACACGTAGCCTGGGATCGACGACAGCTTCCTCATCGGTGTCCGGCCCCATCTTGCACGTACTTGAGGGATGGTAGCATGTACCAGCTTGCTGACGGACATACTCTCTCCACTCCTCGGTGCTCTCTGGGTACATTCTCGTCTTGGGCCAAGCGCCAGAGATGTGGTCCCTTGTGCCAGCACCGTTTACCACAACATTGTGCACGTGTCGGCAGCCTTCAGCGAGAAGAGCGACATCGAGGGGCGAGGAGAGATAGTTGTGATCGATCTTAGGCTTTGTGCGAGGATCGGATGACCGGAGGCGAACAGTTCCACGGGACTGGGGGCCGCATAACATAGTCAAGGTGGCGAAACAGCTCTCCTGTGGAATGGAAACAAAACTTTGCACCATTGGCCAGAATTCATGGGCCAAGATTTTACTCACGTCATCGCGCGTGGGAAGGTGAATGTGTTGCGGACCACCGCCGTAAAGTTCGGTTGAAAAGTCTGTATTGCGATCAGAAGTGATCAGTTGCGAGGGTTTCATTGAATACTGAAGACCCGCGGCTTTAACACAAGGCGTGACCTACATTCAATGTGAGGCTGACCGGGCTTCTGTCCCATGGGATCGCTGTTCGGATTCTTCTCCTTAGCGTCCTTCCACTCGGACACATCCTCCATAATCTTGTCCGCACGCTAAACGCGCCAACGGTAACCGGTAAGTCTGGAGGCTATGATAAAGACGGAATGGAGGAACTAACCAGGAACGCAAAGGGTCCAAATGGGAAGCGGCCCATGACGCCAGTCTAGCGAGCAGTCACGATAGGAACTCGGGAGTATGAGGGTCTTCAACAGACGTTACCTTGTTCTCAATCCATTCCTGAACGGTCGTATCGAGGGCCCCAGGTGGATAGATCAGATGATCATAGCTATGAAAGTGAATTGACAGTGAGTGAGATCAGGATCTGCGCCCCACAATTAATACGCACGTCATACGGGAATTAAGGTAGTAGAATTGGAAGACAATCAGATGGTCGGAGAGGTTGGAGCCAACACCCTTCAGGTCGAGTTTAGTCTCAATATTATATCGCGCAAGATGTTCCTTAGGGCCGACACCACTGTGAAGCAGGATGAAGGGAGAGTTGTATGCACCAGCGGAGAGAATAATCTCTTCCTTGGCTTTAAGGATAATGGACCTGATAGAACCATCCTTTGGGTTCTTGACTTCGGCTTCGACACCAACGGCTTTGAACTTCTCCTTGGCATCGGCATCGGGATTCGTTTCGAGAACGATGCGAAGCACAGTAGTATCGAGTAAACCTGAAGATTCGCCGGAGGATTGTTGTCCACAAAGTCAGCGCTGGAACGAGGATTGAGTAAATTCTTCATAAGAAAAATGGGTCCAAGCTTACCCGCTGGTGCGGATGCCATCATGAACGGTCCTAGTCGCGTGTCCGACACCTTCGCCTCCACCGGAGACAAACATGTCAGGCTTGTAGTCGTATCCTTGGTCGATGTACGACTTGAGCATAGCCTCGCTAATTGGAGCGAGAGGATGAACGGTTGTATGCAGCAAGCCATCGGTGCCATGGTACTCCTCTGCAGCTGGGAAACCTTCGGTAGAGAAGAACTTCTCGGACTAATATACTGTCTTACGCACACATACATACTAGAATGAGCAAAGTTGCGCGCACCTTCTTGAAGAGTGGAAGCAGGTCGTCCCAAGACCAGCCAACGTTTCCGAACTCTGCCCATTCATCATAGTCGGCTTTGGTTCCACGTATCATCAGGGTGCCATTGAGGCCACTGACGTCATGGAAAAGGGTAGCGTCAGTGAGCTGGACAACCCGTTGCCATCAAGAACTCGCCTGCAACCGCCTAAGAATTTGCCTCTGGGTATGTGAATAACACGGTTGTTTGCATGCGTTTGGGGCTGTGTGGCAGGGTGGCAAATAATTAGCATTCGTTGACAGAAGCGCGACTTGAACCTACCTCAGTATCATAGCCCCATTCGTGTTCCTGTGAGAAAGTCTCATTGGGACGCGTCTCTAGGAGAAAGGGAAGGATCGACTCACAGTGAAGTGAATGTTCTGCCATCCCATCGCCATGCGAGACATAATAATGTCCTGGTTTCTGAAGGAAACGAATGAGGTGAGTCCCGATAATAGGTAAGGGTTGAAGGGGGCATTGCCTACCCTGGTCCCGCTTCGATGAGGAGTACCTGAGCACCAGGGGCGGCATCCGCGAGCCTGCGGGCAACGACCTAATCGAGAATGCAGGGATAATGTGATCATAAATCAATAGAGATAGAAGGACACGACTTACGGGGCCGCTAGTGCCACCTGGACGCGGCAGACGCTGGTTGAGAAACAGCGGAAGGGAGTGGGACGCGTGAAGATGACCTACCGCCAACAACTAAAGCGGCGCAGGGTAAATGACGCGGAAAACTCGACTGAGGATTAGAAGACACGTACCAATGAAATCGTACAGGGTGTCCAAGGATGGCGCAGACGGCATGGTTGGGATAGTGAGTGGAGATAACCAAGAAGATTAATCAAAAAAGTGGTGGGTGTTGTTGAAGGGATGTCGATTGAAGGAAGGAAAGGAGTGCGAGATCGAGGAGAGGGTTTAAAAGGCGACCGGAAGTAAACACCGTACTCGGGAGTTGGAGACTTAGGCTCTCCACAAGGTGGGGATGAGGATTCCGATGGAATTCATTGACATCGCGGAGCAAGTGCCAAATATATGCTACATATCAAAGCTCTTACTTGACAACGAAAACGTTCATCCGTAAAATGTTTCGCGGTCGATCCTTCACTTGAACACACGCATTTTGTTGGCAGTGTGTACGTTCAATATTTGCGCGTTCGTTACGGCCATCGAGTCCCGTGACGCTTTTGTGTTGCGGGCAAATTCCCTGTTGATCAGCTCAACATCGTGAGGGAAAATTCTGGTCTTGCAACATTCAGATTTGCAATCACAAATTGATGACTTAGCCCTTTGGGAAATCCGAAAAGTTTCGCATCTCCGATGCACGTACCCCTTTCATCGGCGAAAGTATTTTTGCCTGTACAATTATTCGGCTTGAGGGAAACGCATATTCAGAATCTACTTTTCATTGTGTGAGATTTGATACAAACCGTTTCTAGCCTACCTATTCGAATTGTGGGGTTCTACTATGATGGAAACAATATGAGTAAACTTTTTCAGTACCCGAAGTTCCGGGATCTTTTACTGCGGCTCCTCAGGCCTTCTTAAAACCAGCACTGGCGGCCGCTCAAATGGCCTATCGTTCCTTGTGGTCTACTCTCCCATTACAGAATGGCTCCCGTCGGCATCCCAGCAAGTCTCACCAATGTCATTGTTGGTCCGCTCTTGATCGGATCCTGGCTCAACATCTGGCTTGTATGCAACTCAATTGGCTACCGGAATGCGGAAAAGTGAAGCTGACGTCTTGTCTTCGTTATCCTGCTTCCAATGGCGCTCAAGTATGGAATGATGTTGATTCAAGCACGTAAGAATGATTCGCTCGCTTGGCTCTGTCCTCGCCGACCAACCTGTTTCATAACTCGATTCGCGGTTCTGCTCTGCAGAGGCATACTATCGTCATGCACAGAAGTACGTTTTTACCACCGAGGCACTAGTTTTTCTGTTACTAGTGGTTTCTCCGCTTCCAGTGACCCTGCCTGGATCAAATACCTGGTGGCTTTCATCCTGTTAGCGGACACGTTTAACTCTGTGTTTGACGCGTGGTTCACCTATCATTACGCAGTGTTGTAAGTCTCCATCCTTCTCATCTGTTTTCAGCTTCAAAGCCGGTTGAGTGTTTAATTTGTTGACTGGGATCGTTTTCCAGGGAGTTCGGTAAGTGGTTGCTAGATCCCCAATTTTGTATTGCATTGAAACTCCGATGTCAACCTAATCAGGCAACCCAAATACCATCATGGTCTCTAATTGGGGCAAGTGTTCTTTTGATGAGCCAGGATACGCATGCTTATCGGAGTTATCACGTACAGTTTTCAACACAGGTATTTAAATTTTTCGCGCCATCGCCATCACCACGAATGTGATCGCTTTTTTCCTACGAGATCCCATCATGACCGTTATCATATCTTCGACCGTCCAAGCGTTCTTTGGGTGGTAAATCTGTTTTCCTACTATTATCCTATCGTTTATCTGACATCCGTCCGTTTTACCCTATGGAGGCGAGTCAAGCGGCTAACGGGTATTACCTGGCTTGCTGCGATAATTGTCATCTCAGCCGTTATTCAATTCTGTAAGTACCCTTGAAATCACAAGTTAGCCGAGGTAGAAGGGATTTTGGACGCTGATCATGATGGAAGTGGCCGGGCTCGGAACAACCATTGGTTGTGCCATCGTCAAAGAATTCGTCCAATTCAGGTCATTCAAGTGTATGCCTAAGTGTCTGTTTTCCGTGGGCTTTCTGATTCGAAACTTTTATTTCCCAGCGATTGTCATCGTTTGGCTCGTCCTTGCGCCTGTGACCGACTTCCTCATTGCAGCTAGCCTCGCTTGGTACCTCGTACGTGTTTCTCGAATCACACACGCAGAGAATTCAAAGCTTAAGAATTTCTGTATCCGCTACAGCGTTCGCATAAAACTGGCTTTGCGACAACAGACGATATAGTGATTCGAATCACTCGATGTAAACTTGAGTTGCTTTCATCCCTATTCCTCTGGTGATCTGACACCCCTGTACTTCTGCCTAGTGACAATTCAAACTGGTGCCATCACCGTCATCTGGGCGACAACCGACTTGGTCGTATTCGTAAGTCAAATTGCACCCCCCATTCAAATCACTACAGTTCCTAACTGTTGAATTTTGTGGTCCCCGAAACGCCCCAGTTGGTCTGGGTGAATATCCAAATCCATATCTTTTGGGAGCAATTATACTAACCACCAATTGCCGCTCTCTGCCTACACAGCCTAACAATCTGCACTTGATCTTTAACATGCCACTCGCCAAACGTGAGTAATTTCCTCTTGTCAGTGCCCCACATCTGAGTAACTGATTCACGCAAATGCTGAACAGTCTACGGAAACTGTCTCATGAGCTCTCGTAGGTTTCCCTTCACTTGCAGCACCATCGCTAACATAATTTCATTTGGTTCCTAACTCGATGGCACTCTTTTCGCGTCCTGCTACTGATTCAGTGAATGCACGCCGCGAGTGGAGTACTTCAGGATTGGGTTATACCACTTCAGATGGTATTTCCCGAGGACAGGTAGGTTTCATTTCGGCCCTCGCGCACATATAACTATTTACACATTTATCCCCGCAAATTTCTCAGCCCCGTGGCGGGATCAGCATCACTACGAAGACCGAAGTTGTTCAGGATGCGATCGAACTCGACGTGACCAGTAAACATCGTCCACAAGATGGTGCTCCACGAAGTGTCCGCCCAAGCACCGCTGCAGGTGGTGGTGCTGCCATTGGTGTTGGAGTCCCTGTCCACAATTCAAAACATGATGACGGGTTATCGCTACATTCCGATTCGATTGATGGGGATGATTCTTCAAGTCAGAAGCCTAATGGGGGTCGAAAAGCGGAATGGCCATCACGAAGTCTATAGAGTTCCTATTCTTTGGTGCCTTCTTTTTATATCCACCTGCTTCTCGCAACTTGCTGAATTCACCCTCGGCCCTCTCACCATAAGTGCTCAATGCGTGTTTTCGTATTCCATCATAAACTACTTATGTAATGTGTCTAGTCCCGCGCTCAGCATCATTGACTGTGCAACTGACCTCCTAAGGGCGACCAATTAGGTTTAGCCGAGCGGCGAACTGGTCCGACACTGTGATGGCCTATCAACGGACCGGTTTGTGTGGACAAATATCTTGCAGGAAGGTTCCAGCGTTGCAGGATTTCATAATGCGTGCCATCATTTGTTGGCGGTCATCCCTCTTTGTAAAGCAACGTCTCCGCCGTGATAGTTTCTTACCTCCGATGTTCCCGCCAGGAAGGAGACGGCATGAATTGACCAACCACACACCATCACCGACATCCAGGTGTGCGTCGACGATGTTGCAGTTTCGCTGTACAAGTGATCGACCGCACCAAATAACAATGTCCTGGGACCCATGTATTCGCTCCTCACGATGCTTTCTGGATCAGAATTGGCAGTTACTGGTATTGTCTACTACGATCACAGGGAATAACCCAGAAGTGCTGATCCGGGGTACAAAAATGGAGTCGTAGGAGGTAGCAACATAAAGGATTCCGAAATGAATAGAGCAATGGTCTTCGCTATTGATACTGCGGCACAATCATCTATTCGTCAGATGATGTACCGCAGTGCGTAACGTCCTACATTTATAGAGAGGAGAGTTTGTGGATGGGGTGCAACGGCAAAGGTGACCAAAATGGGGAAAGTACTGCCTGGCTAGGCGGGAGCAGGGCCAGATTGCCTTGAGATTGCCGAATTGATGAAAGCTTTGAGCGGGCGCACTGCACGTGAATGTTTTAACGTCCCCTCGTTCGGAGCCCCCCGTCATCTGTGTGAGCCCCATCATAGATCTGAAGAGCGTCACCTTGTTTTTTTTTTTTTTCCCAGAGGCTTTGTACAAATATCGGCAATGTTGTCCGCAGACGCGACGAATTTGAGGACGATCGACTCGTTCTCAACGCATTTTCGGATGAAGTGGCTGCGTACATTGATGTATTTACTGAATGGTTGATGGGATTGTTCGCCAACATTTCTGTCCCACGGTTGCCAATGAAGAGAGTGGGGGCCAACACATCTTGCTTCAAGTCGCGCATGAGCTGCCGAAGCCAGACGGCCTCCTTGGCAGCTTCGGCAGAGCCATCGTACTCGGCCTCAGTGGACCTATCACTAGCGGGATACATTGGGGATACTATCGTGAATTGAACAGAACAAACTGATGAAGTCCGCCTGCGAGACAGGATTTTATGACACGATTTAGACAAAATTGTTGACAAAAACAGGACCTATTACATGTACAGGAACGAGGAAAAATCGTGTTTTATGGTGAAATCTCTGTCGCACATCAGACATGATTTTATGGAATCACTTTTCTCAGTGCTATGCTGACCCTGGTGGCGACCACCACATCCAGAACAATGACTTGAAAATAAAGGAAGGGCTCATCAAGTCAATAAAGGGCCTGTACCCGCTCAAAACGTCTTCAAGAACTTCGAACGATTTCCCATCCTTTGCAGATGGACATATAAATAAGCATTGGCCAAGTGAGTTGGAAAGAAAAACGCCTACATGAGATATGAAGTTTAGCAGAAGTGTGCAATACATTCTAAACACCGTTCCAAACGCCAGTGTTTCATCTGGTTGAGGAATAGTGCTGTCCTGCCCATAATCCAGCATACGATTAGAATCGAAAATGCCCTTGTCAATGGGGAAAGCGCGCTTGAAGTAAGAACGAGAGAATCCTTGCGGCAACTCGGCGTGTTCTGCTGCCGATTTGAGCGCTTTATGCAGCGTAGAATTAAGAACGGTGGCATTAAAGAGAACCTTGCTGACACCCTGGCCAAAGATTGGGTTCACACCTATCATGAAGGGAATGCTGTCAGATTGATGACGAGAGAGAGAAAAAAATGGCGGTATATAAGTACGCATTATGGAATCGCCAACGGCAATGAAGTTGTTTGGGACCGATTTAAACGCATAATCGATCCAATAGCAACTCGTCTGTTCACACAGATACACGGTCAGATTCGTCTAACCCTTCAATATGGGAAACCCCCCAAGTCATACCAAAGTACAGCTGTCCCATTTAGCAGGTTCATCAAGCAAGTCCGTGCTCTCTCCAGCAATCCACGGTAGCTCAAAGAACCACTCATCCCGGCAGCGGTGCTTTTCTGGAATGACCTTGGCAGCCGATTGACGACATAGGTCGGCAAACTGGGCTACGGTCGCAGGACAGGTGTCGAGGTCCCATCCCGAATATTGAAGGAGCACTGAAAGGAGATAACGATATAGAAGGGAATTTGTGAGAATTGAATCCGCCGCTCGGTACGTACAATGATCCCCATTGATTCTCTGGTACCCAAAAAGGTCTCTTCCGGTCTCAGCCGTTGAGGTAAAGACTCCAAAGATAGTACAGGCATCCCATCGTCCAAACTCCTGATGATGTTTGGGCAATAATCTTGACACTTTCTCTTGCGATTCATGTGACAATTTAACAGACGTGCTATAATAGCTAACTTTTGGGTTGTACGATGTGCGATTATAGGGTCCCCATTTGTCGGAGGCCGCAGGCAATAACTTTTTGCCAATGGAAGAAGGACCAGAACAATCTACGAACAGTACACACGGGATCGTTGTTGTACTCTTGGAGACTGGACGTAAGGAAACTGCGCGGATTGCCGTCCCATCGGACGAGGCTTCGACGCCGATTACGGTTCCCTGAATAACTTGAAGCTTGTCGCCACAAGACTCAATTGATAGACGTCGAACGAGACTCTTGATACTAGAGAAAGGACACTGATAAGGGTCGGCTGAAAAAAAGTATCCATGCTTCATGCTTACGAGAATCGCGAGCCGGTGACATTGTCCGGCATATTCGCCTTCAGGTCGCCAAAGTATGAGCATCCCACCCACCACCTCGTGTACCTTGGGGAAATGTAAACGTCGCTCTTGGAAGCCTCCTCCTGGAAAGCCGGGAACAATTTGCGCAGAATCATCGTTCCCACGGAGAGAATGGCGTGAAAATGGGCGCGTTGTGGCACCCTTCCTCCGAGAGTGATGACAGCGTCAGGCTCGATTATGACGATCTTTTCGAAGTAATCCGTTAGGACTCTGGCGGTGACGTAACCAGCCATGCTAATCATCTCCGTGTCAGTCACACGTCAAGGTACAGAAGGATGGAAAAGCACCTTCCACCAGCTATCACTGCAGCTCCTTGTATCTTCTTTCTGGGAGGTGCTCCGCCCAGGAATCCAAGCTCATTGACCACGGTTGTCGTTCTAAGTAAATGGCGTCGAAGGACAATCCATAGCACCTTGTACGCAATATAGGCAGAGAACGCTGTCCAAACAACCGTCTGGTTCATTTGCAACGGGCCCGAAAGAGGGGACGAGGATGAGATGCGAGGTTTGGGGGGGCAATACGAACATTTTTGTAGAAAGCTACTTTATGCGAGCAACGAGCGCAGGCTGGCGACTCCCCGATTCTATGCAATCTCCCCTGAGCCCCAGGAAGGGTGCGAATATTTGTTTGCGTCCTGCAAGGATTTCGCCTTTGTTTCTCGGACTTCTTCTTGCGGTACACATGAGCAATATCGTCCATTTAGCAAACGTTTGGAAGATAGCTATGGGATCGGAAATCATCGTCATCCATTCGTCATAAAGGTCACAGAGCTAGGCAGGACTCCAACCTCTATGACTTCGAAACAATATATAGATCACAGAGCGTGCTAGTAAACCCACCGGTTATATTCAACACCGCATCACAGCAGTAGGAGTCTAAAGGTGAAGTAGGATCAATTCATTAGGGGATTTCACGATAGGCTAAAGTGGCACTAAACTGGGATGTAAACTGAACCTAAAGTGACCCGAGTTGAGGCACAATTACAGCGGTTTCGGCCTTGTTGTCACGTGACCCAGTTTGGGCACTGGCCCGAAACAGGGCCTGACAAAGAGTGCATCATATCTTGGCAACCACATGAGCTAGCCACTTGTGGTTTGTTGCAAAGCTTTCATACCTCCATTGCACCCAGACCCTTTTTTAGTGATAATGATTGTTGAAATATCTTGTTTCTTGGCTTGTTGTATGCTGTGGACTACTCGACTATGTCCCAAGGATTATAGATCTTGCACATGGGCATTTCCATGAAGGATTGCCCGATGCTTCTACTTTTGGGACCCATGTTGATGAATGCAGTTGAGGATGGCTTAAAAGCCACCTCGCGCGATTTTTCTCTCTCTCTCTCTCTCTCTCCTCAGTTCATGACTTTGGAACTGAGGTGAGATTCTTTTTCATCATTTGGAGCAGACTTAGTCTAATGTATAAGATGAAATGATGGACTAGCAATGTTGTTGCTCAGTCTGCTGTGTGTGAACTAGAAATTGTCAGGGGATGACTCCCAGGTCCCCATGACTGAAGGGTTGCTTACTATTTTGGGGACAGTAACATTCCATTCCCCTGTTCGCCTCAGGCCTCAGTAGGTCCATCTAAACATAAGCTTTGATGGGCTGTATATTCAATGGAGTAGAGGAAAAAGGCTACCGGGCCTTTACAACTACTCTGAGGTATATATATGTAAATTACATATCTTGGCACAAATAAATAAAGAAATAACAGCATCACTATAATGGGAATTATAGTTAATCCCTCACAATGACCCTCCCCTATGGCCCACAGCCTCAAGTCTAGTCAGCCCTATCCAGGGCACAATCCTACTGTGGGTAAGAAGATGTATAGATAAAGAGGCAAGTAGATACACTTGCCTACTGTGGGTAAGAAGATGAGAAGGAAGCTAACTTCTCATCTTCCCACAGTGGCCACAATATCAGGCAAACTTCCGGGGATACCCAGAAGTTACATGAGGGGGTGGGAACCGGGCCTGGAACATGCAGCATGCAGAGCATGCACGCATGTGGGAAGTGCAGTGGGCAGATGCGGGTCCGGATGTGGGTCCAGGTCCAGGCTGGTCAGGGTGTGTGCCCTGACAGAAATATATTGGAAAGTAATCACCTAGCAATGTTGTCACTGGTGTATGAATATTAGATACACATTGTTTGTCAGAGACCAGGTCGAGACGAGGGAGTGTCTCCGTGGCAGAGGGCTTCGGCCTCAGTGACTTATGCCAGGAGCGCTGTGCCAAGTAACACGTCCGTGCCCTAACTTACTAAACTGGCAACCAGAACTGAAGGGGGGTAAACTCTAGTCGATTTTATTACTGAGGTGTAACCTATGTACAAGTTGAGTATATATATAGTTACAATGAGGGCGGGCCCGCAAATGGTGGAGCAGAGCTAACGGGGTTAGACATTAGCCGATTGAATATTACCGACGAGTCGGGTTATGGGGTTAACGGAATGGTAGGTGATAACCCAGAAATGGAAAGGAGGGATAGGCCCGAAGGTGGGCTTGCAGGGCAAGCGAGTGTATTGCCCAGCGGAGGCGGGAGTGCGCTAGCGGATGTCGGAGCTGTCTGGAAGCCTTCGGGGCTCCGTACTTAGGGAGGCGTAGGTAATAAATTGAAAAGAGGGGGTGGTGACCATCGAGGGGTACCGAGGTGATTGCGGAATATGGGAGCTCTGAGGTTAGTGAAGAAGGAGTGGAGGTAGACCAGAGGGATCGGAGGGAGTGGAAGTCGATGGCCGGGGATGGATATGACATTGTTAAACACATGAGGGAAGGGGAAAAACTTAGACTCACCTCAGTCTGCTATGCATGAACTGAGGAGAAGTTGTAAGGTCCTGTCATATCCATCCCTGGCCATCGACTTCCGATCCCTCCGATCCCTCCGATTACTCCCGCTCCTTCTCCACTAACCTCGGAGCTCCCATATTCCGCAACTCCCTCGGTACCCCTCGATGGTCACCACCCCCTCCTTTCAATTTATTACCTACGCCTCCCTAAGTACGGAGCCCTGAAGGCTTCCGGACAGCTCCAATGTCCGCTAGTGCACTCCCACCTCTGCTGGGTAATACACTCACTTGCCCTGCAAAGCCCACCTTCGGGCCTATCCCTCCTTTCCGTTTCTGGGTTATCACCTGCCTTTCTGCTAACCCTGTAACCCGACTCGTCGGTAATATTCAATCGGCTAATGTCTAACCCTGTTAGCTCCGCTCCACTCGGCTCCGCCAATTGCGGACCTGCCCTCGCTGTAACTATATATACTTAACTTGTACATAGGTTACACTCCAGTAATAAAATCGACTAGAGTTTACCCTCTTCAGTTCTGGTGGCCAGTTAGTAAGTTAGGGCACGGACATGTTTACTAGGCACAGCGCTCCTGGCATAAGTCGCTGAGGCCGAAGCCCTCCATCACGGAGACACTCTTTCGTCTCGACCCGGTCTCTGACAGGTCCAAAAATTGGTGTTTTATAGTCAGGTGCTATCAATGCGCACTGACTTTATGTAAGGGATGGACAGGGATGGGATGATGTGTGCATTTCCCTTATTCTTTATTTCTTAATATTCCTCATAATAAACAATGTATAACAACTGTATATACATATATAGTGTCCAGGGTTGGGAAAAGGAGCTTGGCTCTTCTCCTCCCTCCCTGTCAAATACTAGCTTCATACAGTCTAAGTTATCAACAGCCTGAGGATTGAGGAGTCACCAAGGCTGGCACCCCAACTGGCCTTACACTTTAGCAACAACTGATCCAAAAAAGGGAAACAAAGTAAATCTTAGCGCTGCAAGACTCAACATCAACAACGTGAGTTGGCCTCAGTGTATGCTTGTACATATTTCCTAGCACTAATTCGTAACTAGGTGTCAGGGACAGCTCTGAAAGCGGCGAAGTCCTGGCATGAGGGACTCAGTGGGACAGATGTCAGCTGTGCATAGCGGTGATCCCATCGCGGGGTGAGCATCCCCGACCACTTAGTCTGAAGTGGGAAGTTGAGAAGAAGGCTGCTTCTTCTGTTCCCACCCCAGGTGCTATTATATACAAGCGGTTAGGGTCACATGGAGGAAGCCATGTCATCTCCAGGCACAGCTGCACCTCCCTGGGTGTCTCTGCAGGAGATCCTGGAGGTGGCCGCTCAGTAGGCGGGAGTGTGTGCCGTGCATGCACTGATCAGGGGAGCAGGGTTAGGTATGTGGTGGTACATGGAGAAAAGGGAAATCGACCGTAGAATAGAAATAGAGAGAAAAAAGGGGAAAAGGGGAAGGAAGGGAAAGAAGGGATGGGGAGTGATAGTGGGGGGAGCGGAGTAGGGCAGTGCAGCGCGGGGTGTGGTGCAGGGTCAGGTGGGTGTGCCCTGACACTAGGTAATGACTAATAATATAAAGGAATGGGTCACATGCCCACAACTATACAGCTCTGTGACCCGGAGGGAACATCCAGGTGGCAGTGCCCAGTAAGCGTGGGAACATTCTGGGTGAGCTGCTCACTCAGAAAGTTCCCACGCTATCCTGTGCATGTGTGTACACAACACACAAAGGCAACAATCAAAGAATAAAGGGAGTAAAGTAGGTGGGGAGTCTGGGGCACCCTAAGGCAGGGTGCTGAACCCTGACAATCATGGCCTTAGATGCTGAGGGTAAGAATTATCGAATATGGGCATCGAGAATGGAATCCATCTTCAAATTGGGTGTATGTGGAACATAGTCAAAGCTGTGTCAGTGTCAGGGCACGCCGCTCCACTCAATGCCGCTCCACCCTTTTTCCCTCCTCTCTTCCCTTCCCTTCCTTCCCTTCTCTCTTTTCTTTCCTCATATGGACGACTTCCTTTCTTACACTTGTAGCATGGATGCATCCGGCACCGAGTACCTGGCACCATGCTGCACCGCTGGATGCACTGAAGGAGAGAACGAAGGAAGGTCAGTTGGGAGGTTCAAATGAGACCACCACCAAGCTGTTCCCTGGTTTTTTTAGTTAGGATGGGGAAGTGTACTAGTAAAATTTGTTGTATTTATAGTGCTAATTCTATTTTATGGGTTAGTCTAAAAGTCTCTGAGAAATGACTTACAGATAAACAAAGCCCTGTGGAGCTGTTCCTTTATTGTAATTTCTCAATTTATCTGGGTGTAATTCTGTGTAGGATTGTTTAATTTGGATTTTAACTTGAATTAAATCTTTTACTTGGTGAATTTTCAAAGATTCTACTCAGTTAATGGATTTAGATCGTGTCTGAAGTGTCCCTTGACCTTGTCTTATTTTTATCTTATTTTTATTGCTTGTTTTAACAGTAGAAAAATAACTGTTTTGTGTTTACACTTTGAAATCTGGAGTGTTAACCAGCTCTCCTGTTGAAATATTTACTTAATATTCCTCTCCCTAATTGCTGCCTTTTACTACAGTGGCAATCTTAACTGTATATCACTTTTTTGCACTGGAGTGACAACCAGAAATGCTTGAGAAAAATAATCTTACTTCTCTGAGGGGGGGCGAAAAGTCGCAGAAAGGGTCTCCCTTTTATACTCCTTGGGTTGCCTTCCTTTTTCACACTCTACCTGTAAGGTCGGTGTAGGTGCCGACCTTGGTGCCTCTTCAGTCCTCAGGTCAGTTGATATCTAGGTTAGACAGAACTTAGTATTTGACGTTGGTGTGGAGAAGAGTAAAGAACCCTTTACCCGACTCCGCACCATACATATGTAAATACAAAAGTACAACAAGGAATAATAAAGGA